GGTTTTTTTTTAATATTGCAAAATGAAGCTGAAATTGTTTTTTGAATTAATACTTTCTTCTTTCTGATAAAGTAGTTTTGGAATTTTTTGTACCCTTCAAAAGAACGAAAATTGAAGCATAAAAAACTACGGGCTCATTCCTAATTTAAAGAATTGTATTTTACTGCTTTTGAATATATATATATATATATATATACTCGTATATGTTAAGGAAAATGATAAAATACAAAATGAGCAAGTTTCCATACTTTCTTCAGAGAAAATATTACTGATATAGCTTACGGACATTAAAGTATATATAAGCACTTCAAAGCAACAAAATCCCTCAAGAAAAACAGGGATTTTTAACATCCTGAAAATTTTATTGATAATTTTTGTTCTAAAGTATTATCAAATTCCGTTATTTATTTATTTATCATAAGATTACTTTAATTCAACGTACTTCGGTTTTTTTTAAACATCTCGAAGGAAACCTGCTTAAGATGTTTATAGTTTCCTTTTCTGATTTCGCGTTCCAAAGTATTATCACTTGAGAAAAATATTTGTTACAAACCTCGTGAGTAGACGAAACAGTGGAATGAATCCACATAATCTTAAATAACGAAGTCGTTTTCTACTTCCTTGTCACATGCTTCCAGTTACAGGGTGTTTTAAATGAAGAATTTGACCGGGATACTTAATTTCAAAATTTGCAATTTTTCAACTTGACTTGAGGTTCGATTAATTTGAAATGCAGCTAAAAATGTGTATGGTTTAATAGGAAGCAAAAAGACACCATGTAGTGTCCATATCAGTTTTTTTATTCAATAAGAGCATATATCTCCATACTGTTACGTTTTTCAATTCCTGACACCAGTTGTTACGTTATTTTCTTCCTTCACTTTCGTACGGGGTTTGTAGATTTGGAGTGAATAACGACGACACTTGATGAAGTATCGAAACACACTTTATTTAGCCAATATTTAATCAGGACAGCTCCAATAACACTTTTTACAGTCGTCGAATAGCTACAATAAACACGCTGGAACAATCAGCGACACAGCCTTCACACTGTCAGGCAATAACGGTAGAAATAGCTTCACTGCAAAGCACCAGAGTACAGCTTCCGACTCTGTTTGGTCGTTCTCGGAACTCCACGTACTCTCGAGACTCTCTACGCGATGCACTCGACGATACACAAGAGTATAGCTCTCGACTCAGCACAGTCTAAGACAAAACTCGACGATGCACTAATTCGCGATGCATTAAAAGACTCTCTCGATGCACTCGACGACCAACTCGGCGCTAGAGTTCGAGACACTCGCTCAATGACTGACTATCAGCTCGCTAGTCGAAGCATACACATTAACTGACTGCGGACCAGCAGGGTTTATATAGCTTTCGGTTTGTGTTCGAGAACATTCTGAGCTAAACCGGTAAGAATTCGTTCCAGAAGGTTCTCCATCCGTCCATGGTATATCGCCGATTTTGTCGCCAAATGGTCGATTTCTCGCAAAATGTGGCAACCCTGCCTTTTCTCTCCATTTTTATGGCAACCTTAAAGCTGCTTTGCGGGGAAACTATCTCACCGCGCTTGTACATTTCGTAACAATATAATGATAATTCTTGTTAAAATAATATCATAGCGCGTTTCTTACCCTCCTCCAACTATATGCATTGTTAAGGTAGGCAATATTTTAGATCCAAAAGTTTCACAGTTGAGTTTCAAGTGAAAAAAGACGAATTAGGGTTCCGGCATCACGGTCTTATTATTTTTACAATGATGTCTGTCTCTCTGAGTGCATACGTGTGATGACATTTTGGCCCCCGATGGCTCTTACATCGGCTTCCAAAAATTCTGTTTTCCGTATTTAAGCTTTCAGCATTCATATTGGGTTGATTAGATTTTGGGTAAAATTAAACAACACGATGGACTTTAGTGTATACAAAAAGCATTTTTTAATAAAAAATTATTAAAATGTAATTCAAAACTTTTCAATTTTAATATTTATGGTTTTTATATCAATGAGAGCAAAATATTAAATTTTGGCTAAAATTGCTGAAATGCAAGTGATTGTTTATTTGAAATTCTAAACAGATTTTCGGGAAAAAATTTATTTTGATATAATCGAAATCTAGTGAAATTTGTTATTTAAAACTCGTATATGCATATAAGGTGCATATACATTCACCCTTGAAAACGATATATTTAGATGTTGGCAATATATGATAAACTGAAAATAGTGCTTTAATTGGAAAACTTAATTAGATTTTTATAGGCAAAAATAGAATTATTAGAGTTTAATCTAAAATATTGTAGTACTATTACTATAGACACGATATTTGAGCCGTTATCTTTGAAATTGGTCAAGTCCATTTTTGACAAAACGTTAATTAATGATACCAATAAACGCAATCTGCTATGATATTTTATATTCTTTCATTATGTATTGCCGCCCAGACGGTATAATGGTTAGGGGAGCCGACCGCAATACCAAAGGGCCCGGGTTCGAATCCTGGAGTAATCATGGTTTTAACTGCCTGTCGGCAAAGGTGGCGCACCTATTAGGTGCCTCCATAATAAAGTCACCACCACTTCTGGCCTTAGTAGTGGCCAAGTAAAAAAAAAAATATTTTCCTCCAATACATCATGATTATATTCAAAGACTTTCTCATGACGATAAAAATTAAAAATGGCACATATTAATATAAAGTTATAATTAAAGTAATTTAAATAGCATAAGTACCTGAAGAAATGTTAAAATGAAGCGCCTTTATTTTGTTTGTTGACATATTTAATAAAAATTTCATAAAAAATATGTTGATTCGATTGAAAACCTAATTTTAATGTTTCATAAATGTATCATTTTCACATTTTGTTGACTCTGAAAGTGATGTAATTTCATTTGAAGTCATCAAAAATATAAATTTCATTTAACTTATACATTAAAACTAATTACATTATAAATTTAAATCCATTTAATGTATAAAAACATAAAGTGAGCATATTAAAATATACCAATATTTTTTAAAACATTGAAATACAAACTCTTAAATATTTCCATTTGATATAAAATGAACTTACACCATTATCAAAGAAAAAGCTTATCTATTTATACCAAGCCGTAGAACAGCAGGATTTTCATAACAGCGTTGCATTTGTAGAACTTCAAAACACCTTAATGCAGAAATGTTACCGAAAAATGCACTTGCGGTTCTCTTATACTGTTGATGAAGGACAAAATTGAAACCTCTATTGTTTTACTTCTTAGGGATTCGGGAAAGTACTTTAATCACTATTCAGCAGTAATTCCCGAAACTAACAAGCATACTGATACCATAATACCGTGGTAATATATATGCAGATCCAAATGAATTTAGATTTGTTGATAGTACAGAAATACAGAGAAGAAAATTAAATTACGGTATTTGCTCAGAAGTATTTTTTTTAAATATATCACGAACAGTTATTTTCTTTAATTAAACACGAATTGATTGATATGATAGTCAACCACCCACTAAAATACAATTTTTAGCAAAAAGAAATAAAAGGGCAAACACTTGATCATGGTAATATAAATTTAGAAAAACCAGTTTTTACACATGTCCAACTGTACCTAATAAAATATAATAAAAGATCTCGTATTACAGGACTTTCAGTTTATTGGAATAACAAAATTAGAGTTGATTATACAAGATAAACCGTAATAATACTGTACTTAAAGCTCCTTGCTATATAAAGTACGAAATCGGTGCGTGATCAGGTGCTGGCTACAACACACTTTTTTATACTGTTGTTAATGTATAGATAAATAATTTCATAATTAATTAAAAAATTTTAAACAGAAACTATTTCCAACTTATAGAATAGAATTATAAAATAGAATTTTTTTTTTTTTTTTTTTTTTTTTTTGAGAATTTCAGATTTTATTATTTAGCTAAGTACATTTGAAATAAATAACTTTAATTTCAATTCCTATCTAGCTACATAAATGCTAAATTTAGTAAAATAGTTTAGCCCGGAATTTATTATCTTAGCAACCATAGAATAATACAACACAGGTTACTTTAAAGTACTCATAGTTTTTTCCTTCTTTCCTCATTGAAATTACCAAAACTAAGATTTTAATTTGTTGCTATATTTTAGGAATTATTAATTCTGCAAGTAAGCAAAACTCTGGGAGAGGAGAATACTGCTCAGAATTTGCAGCATCATTTCTTACCATTTATTTAAAAGGTCTATTAAATAAAAGCAAAAAAGCATGCTTGTGGGCGCCAAAATTTAAAAAGGAGTAAGCACTAATTATTTTAAAGCCTAATATATAGAACAAAATTTATACTTTTATATTTTGTTCAATCGCAGCTGAAAGTAGGTGAATATTTTTATTTTTCTACTTCTATTTCGAAGTCTTCCCAACAGTTTTTAACCGTTATTATTCTCGAATTCCTGAAAACTTAGAATTTTAATGTGTATTCCAAAGTTTTCTTAATTCAACAAAAAAAATGAAGATTGTTTTAAAAGAAACAACCTTCATAAAATAATAATAATGTTAAAATTTTAAAAAAATAATCAAAAAAAGTTTTGCTTACTAAAGGCGTTTATGATATATAAGGAATTTCTTATTCCTATATATAATATTAACTAAAATTTCACATCGAAATATTAATTAATAATTCATCAAATTTGAATTTTTCAATCAAATTTACAAAGCGAATTTTACATGAACAACTATTTCGTGGATGAAATTTTTTTGCATGAAAGAAATATTCTTGTTTATATTTATGAGTGTAAGAAATATCCAGTTTTATGCTCCAAGACCAAAAATTTTAAGTGAATAATAATAATGTAGAAAATTCTCAAATTTTAAACAGGTAAAATTTTACCGATTTCCCGTTCAGAAACAAAGAGCGTTTACCCTGTTCACTTGGCTGCAAGCAAAACATTTCACGCACATTAAAATATTTATAACGATACCGTCGCCTCCTTCCGGAGAGCGCTAAGCCTAACTGAGCAAGCAAACTATGCTTTTCGCCTCCTAGCTTCTACATCAGATTGAAAGCAGGTGCGAAATTCGCAGTTGCTCTGAATGATTCTGCGAAAAGTTGCAGCGATTCTAAACTCTCCGCAAGCCATGATTGACACGGGATAGCTAAAATTCAATGTATCGGAAGTACTACTTAGTAGAGGTAAGCTAGTCGATTTGTTCCGATATTTCAAAATATTGAAACCATAGTTTCGTTAGAATCTGCGTGAGAGACGTTTTAGGCTTAGCGATACTTGAGTTTTGTAACATTTCTTGTCTTTAATCGTGCAGATATCAACACAAAGTGGCTGTTTTTAATACACTGAATTACACATCTGTGTTTTTCGCCCATTTAGAAGATTAAATGCGATTTTTATTCAAATTTATAAGGAGCAAAGTATCAACGTAAACATGCATCGTGTAAAGCTGGATACAAAAATCAATATTCGAGATGGTTTTCCAGATCGATAAAAAGTGGCTACTCTTCCTATGAGGTTTTGAATTATTTGTTATATTTCTCTCGTTTATGCAGCTGTTGATGCATAGCTTTCAAATTTTCTAAATAATGCTTCTTCATGAAATATTTTCACGACATAAATTATCCTGGTGTAAAATTTGTATTGTATGTTGCCATATGTAGAAAGTACTTTGAGAATTAAATTTACTTTAACTTAAAGCAACATTTTATATAAAAATACTTTATGTAGAATTTATTCGAACATCCTTTAATAAATAATACTCGAATAAAATGTCCATAAAACTTTCTTATTTAAAGGCAGTTTTTTTTTTAGATATAAAAAATTCACTTTTTTTCAAAACTGGATTTACTTACATTTTATAAAATAACTATAGAAAAGTATTTTCATATTCCTCGATCACGTCTGCAACTATTGCCTCTTTAATCAATTTATAAACTTTATAACTGTTGCACAATTAACAAAGAAATTTGAAATTGATGAAAAACAGTTAACTGAAACATCATGTGCTAGATAAAATAGTTAAATCTATAAAAAATAAATACAAAATTACATCTTAGCTGTATTTAATAAATATATTTCAATAAATTCTCAAAATGTATAGATTAAGTTGCATGAAATGAATCTTTCACAACTCATGAGTACCAACAATGTTGAAGTGGCAGCAGTATTTAAGTGGGACAACTAGATATTTTATGAAAATAATATTTAGGCAACTGAGAACTAAGCTATGACAGATCTCGCAAGCTTTACATCTAAAATATTTTATTACCGAGATTACAATATGTAATTTTTTCCAACTTTTATTTATGTATTTTTATTTAAATATTTCTTTATTTGTTTTTTAAAATCAATTATATGACTGAGGCAATTTACGTTTTAAAATATGGTATTCAGAACCTTAAAAATTTTGCTTTCAGCAGAATTTTATAATTTTATAAATTCGAACAGAAAATTTCCAAATATATTTATGTAGTATATCTTCCCCATCCTCTAACGAGCTTTGGCATACATTTATTCAAGAAGTACATTTATTCAAGCAAATATATTAATAAAAGTTCTGCTATATACAAGTTCATTTTTCAGTGATATGAAATATCAAAAGTTTTTTGAAGTATCACAAGAATTAAATTAAAAATGGTTTACATCAAAACACTTGAAAAATTTTCCTTTTCAATTTCTAGAAAATAGTTAATAATTAATTGATATATTTAATTCTTAATACAGGCAATCAATAAGATATGATTCAAGAAAAATCTCCTTATTTTATGTTTCACATTACAGGATTTTGTAAGACATCAAATTCGCTTTTATAATACAAGAACACTTCTAAATAAAAATATACTCTATATTAATAAAAATTTCATATCAAATTCTTGATATTATTCTCGAAGACTACAAATGCTAAATTTTCTGTATGTTCAGTTAGATTATTCGCTTTGTCATTTTTTCTCATATTATCAATTAGGCTACATTTTAATAATTCTTCAGTTTTGTCTGAGTATCATCTTTATAGATATTGAGTTTAAATTTCGACTTTTGTAGCATCCTTTCACTTAACCAATCCGCTTTATTTTTAGCTCTGGTGATCAGTTAGTAACACAGTGGATAAGATTATTGAACGCCATTAAATGGAATGAGATTAAATTCCTAGCAACTTTATGGGCTAGTTACTAGAGGACAGAAATGGCATACGAGGCACGAGGGCTTCACCATATGATAATACAGGATCAGTGCCGCTACTGATCCACTAAAACATCCTACAGAGGCTCAGCGCTATCTTTTCAAAACATTTTCATTCAGTTATTAATTAAAGGATATGTACACTATAATAAGGACTGTTTCGCAACAAATACTGCTCACAAATATCTTGGTCTTTTTCCGAAAGGTATTTATTACATTGTTGATTTTGTATAATAAAATTTTGGATTACTTACGACACATCTTCTAAAGACGAGTTCACTTGTAATTGTTCTTAGCACTGTGATGCGTTTTTTTAAGTGGGCAAGACAAGAGGTAGCGCTCTAAATAGCTGGCTGCATGTACCTGTATTGTTTTCTAACGTATGTAACTTAAATATTGAATGGACAGCTTTACGAAGTCTTTACTAAAGCAGAGAGACTTCACGCGGTTTCTTCATAATCTAGTAATCAGTTTTGTTTTTTCTGTCGTATTGACACATTCGCAGTTTTCCCAAAACTCTCATACAAGAACGTTAACACTTGCCGTTGCAGAGATTTTAAAGCAGCTTCTCTCTCCTTTTCACATGCCTTCGTGGTATAACTGAGAGCACGCTTGACACGTGTTCGGGACGTTCAGGATTCGAATCCGGCGAAGACAATTCGAATTTCTTCAGTGAAACCGAAAAGTTCTAAAGCACTTTTATAAGTAGCACCCGAACTAAAAAGGTGATGGACGATAATTTGTCACCACCAGGATTTGGCGGTTAGGTCTGGTCTCCTAATCCCCAGTAACCTCTTAAAAGGGGGAGTATATACGGTGTTCTCTCCCTCCTTTTTGCATGCCTTCGTGGTGTAACCGGAAGCACGCTGTACTTATCTTCCGGAGGTTCAGGATTCGAATCTCGCCAAGGGCATTCCAGATTTCTTCAGGTTCCTGACATCGAAAAATTATAAATGGCTCTGCAAGGTTAATTAGACTCTTCAGACCAGGAAGTATGAAAATTCAGATGTGCTCTCGCCGAGATTCGAACCACTTATCTTTTCACTGTAAGTGCAAACTGAATGTACCACGAAAATAAGCAAGGAGAAATGGGATAATTCCTTGCATTTGCCCCAGATACTTTAAGAGCCAACAAAACCCAATTAATAGTGAATAATTATTGTCTACCATACTTTATTTCTTGTGCTATTGAAGAAACCATTAGATTTTACGAAGAGAGAAATATAGAAATTCAACTGCTCCCACTCCGGTGTTCTAGCCACCGATCGTCCACTTACTAACTGAAGGAGCTGGCCGAGGAGATACAGTAATTCTTTACATCTGTATGAGGCAATGTGTTTGTGCTCATAACTGGGACAGCCTAATGAAGCCATAGGGTCACTTGTGGTCAGATGGAGGGGCGGTTTTCGACAAACAAACATGCAAAAGACACTTTTCAGAAAATATAAATTTCTGATATCGTTTTCATAAATAAAGTAATGGTCATAGAGGTACAAAGCAGTAATATTGACACTTTCATACCGCAAATCTGAGCAGTATGTATTATGTTACATCATAAAAATTCTATAATTTAGGGAAGAGTTCTGAAAGGTATGAAATATATGCAAATATAAAGTCATCGTATTGGACTTTTATAAAAAGGAAAGCCGTGTAAATTGTAATTAAATTTCAGAGGTATGCTTTTCTAGCTACTAGAAGCATCTTCTTCGACAGCAATTTAAAGGGAAAAAAATTTCTTTCTGCAACATAACCCACATTATTCTGTCCTCATAACACTAAAATCATCTAGAATGAAAATCAATTAAATATGCGTTCGGTTTCCGCAGCAAAATTTAAAATATAAAGTTTTCAGCATGTCCTGTAATTTTGTCAGTTAGCCTAAAGCTGATGATTCCTTAATGGGTTTTTTAAATCAATTTACTGCCTTAGTAAACTAGGACAAAGACAAACCGCTGTGTAAAAAATTATGCGTCGGCAGAAAAGCGTGTTTACAAGAAGATCGATATGGGGAAAAGTAGGAATATGAGTCGTTCTCCAAGTTAAAGACGGAGAAGGAGAATGTTGGTTCTAATATTAAAGTGCTGTCTTAATGAAATATATTCTTCTAAAAATTAGTTGTATATTAAAGATTTGAGTCCTGCTATTTACATATATATTGTTAAACCCTCTTTATAACTGTGAAGTTCAAATACATTGAAAAGTCTTTTGTAGAGTATTTGAGGGAACTGTAAGGTTATTATTTGAAACCAACCAGTTATTTATAATTTTAACCTTTACTATAACATCTCCTTTCCGCTTCTTCACCAGAATGCAAATCAGCTGAGGTTTTTGGATTTGAGCTGAGGTTTTTGCATTATCAAATAGAGCATGCTTCTTCCCTCGAAGTTATATTGCGTAGTTCCTGTGAGCTCTGAGAAGTTTGAAGTTATTTGGCTTTGCGCTTTGCTGCCGGCATTTAAATTTGATACGCTGTTTATAAGTTTTGAGCGAGCTTAGTATAAAATTTAACTGTGTAATCTTCGATTACTATTCTACGTTTTAAATTAGAATTTGATTATTTCAGCTGCATCGCCAGGAGTTGTGGTCCATACTTCTAGCATAAGAACGTGCGCTTATGTTCTGATTTCTGTTTAAATAAAAGGTCTTAAGCCTCTACAAGTCTTTATAGTTACTTTCAGGCCTAGCCATTATTTGCTTCTATATCTGGTAATATTAGTCAGCCGAAAACACCTACATGTCTGTTAAGTGTTTTCGACTGACTAATATTTACCAGATACTTTTCCTTAAAAGAACATTGCTATAATTTTCTAAAATGCTTTTAATTCAGAATAAGAAAAGTTTTTCATATGAAGTCTTACATCCCTATGAGACAAAAACTTCTGATAAAAACATTATACAAAAACTTCATATATATCTGAGTAAGTCATTAAGTAGCTGCAATTATTATATAAAAGTTTTCATATTAAATATAAGAACTATACCGCTGAGCATGAGATTTTCGAGTTGTTTCCGTGACTACGGTGTATCATCACAAAGACAAATTGGAGCAACTTGGGAATGTTAATGAGTGTGTATTGCTAAACATCGGGTAAGATTCCATGGTAACGCTTTCAAAAAAATTAACTAAATTGTACTGGTTTAAGGCTTATTATATATGTGCTTAACTGATTCTACGCTTAAAGCATACTAAGTAGCCAGTTCCTGAAGCAACGTGACGCTTCATTTATTTGAGGAACGTAAAATTAATGAAGCAACATATCCAATTTTTCCAATTTAAATTTCATATAAAATAAATATTTACACGTGCATGAGATTTTCTTCCTTTTTTCTCTACTTATGAATTTTTACATGGATTGCTAATTTGCATTAGAAAAATGACATTTAATGAATTTTTTCTTTCTCAGATATCTGATATGATTAACTGTGCGTATATCGTGTAATTGATAACTAACAGTAAAACTTCATAAGAAGGTAAACTGGTTGCTATACTTCTTGATAAAGATAGCTCCCATATATCTGTAAAAATATTTTGCAGCGGCTTATGAATCTTCTATTTATAAAATATCTACCATGCCCACAAAAGTCATTACCCGGCCTAAATAGTGAAAAATATAACTTTTTATACATTCCTACTCACATTTAAGAAAATTTTAGACTTTACAGAAAATAAAATGCAAAAGGTTTGACTTCCGTGCGACAAAAATTGACTAAAATATTTAATGTAAAAGTTTTTCGTCTTTTGAAAACACAGGTATGTTTTGGACAATTTGCATAAAGGAATCGGTTAATAAATAGTTAAGAATAAATTAGGTTTTATTCCTCCCTTTAAATGTCCTTCAATGATACTCTTTTGTGGTTTATTAGTTTCTTTGTAATTTTATTACATTTGGTACGCCGAAAGAATTTCCACTTAAATAAATCCAGTCTAAAAATACGTTATTAATCTTCTTTAATACTTTAGAATCTTAATCAGATGCCAAAAATTCATTAAGTATGAGTAATTTTCCTTTTTAGCTAATGCAGATAACATTACGAGTTGGCTATGTGCTAATGCAGATATCTACCTGTGTTTTCTAGAACATGAATTCTATAAGATTCTGTGAATACGATTTCCATTTTGAAAAAAATTATATTGATTAATATTTTCACAATAATGTACATAGAAATCCTCTTCACTTAAATGCTTAGCAGCGGAAACCTTTTCTAAATGATATTTGAATTTAGCTATCTACAAATGCAAACACTTCGCTCTTCAGTTTGTGTATGGCCCCCGAATGTGATTCTTAATTTTAATATCAAATATCACGGTCAGTTTTTGTTTTACGAGAATAAAACGTTTTGGCATTTTATTCTTATTTACTAGTAAAACATTTCCTAAACACACTTGTGTGCAAACTTAAAGAATTCGTATGTTTTGTCGAATATCTGAAAAACTAATGGACAGAGTTTAATGAAATTTCGTATGAATATACAATTATAACAGAGGAAAATGCACCAATCTAAAGTCATTTACGTAAGCATGACTATTACTAGAGCGCATAGTGAAGGATATCCAAAATCCATGTTATGATATCGAACTGAAAAGGAGGCTAATATGGGGTACTGATCCATCTCACAGACAGACAAATCGTGTAGCGTGACGGCATATTGGATAGGCGGCACTTCAGGAGTCCCCTTATGACAATCGATCTCATTCTTGCAGAAAGGCAGTTTTCAACTCCTGGATGGTTCTCGTAAAGCAATGGCGAGATGAAATTGCCCATCCAAGAACATCCCAACATCCCAGACATGTTCTATAGGATTACGGTCAGGAAATCTGGCTGGCCAATCCATGCGGCGATTATCCTCACTTTCCAAGTAATCGTCGGCTAGCTGAGCCTTATGCGGGCAAGTGTTATCGTCCATTAATTGGAACACAAGACCAATTGCTCCCTGAAAATTCGAACATAGAGCTCTAAGATCTCTCTTCTACACCTCATAGCAGTCAGGGAGCCTTTGTCAAACACATGCAGCGGTAAAAGGCAGTCCAACATAATGCTTGCCCAAATCATTACGCCTCCACCATAGTAATGGTCCTTTTTCCTGCTAAGTGAGGGATATTATCATGTTCCAGGAGCTCTGCAGATACAGGTACACCGAGAATCAAGGCCCATACTGAATCTCGACTCATCTGTAAAAGATACGGTGCCCCACTAAAGTCTGGTTCAAGACGTATGTTTTCTACCTCATGCTAAACGCGCTCTCCTGTGTGGTACAGTGCACGGGACGCAACAGCGGGTATTCTGGCAGACAGAGCTATCTGATGAAGCCTTCGGGCCAACTGTAGACCGTGAAATCGTGAACCATCGGGTTTCAGTGACAGTATACAACTCATATGAGTATTGTAATATCACAGCAGTCCTGTGTCGCCGCGCTGAAAGTGCCAAATAACGCTACTCATTCGTCGCTGTGGATCTTGGTCGACCTTATCCAGGTCTTCTCGATATGGACTAAGATTTCTGTAGCTTTTTCCACAAGTTGCAGACGTTACTGGACGTTACACTGAGCTCTATAACCACCTGCGCTTATGATTGTCTGCCTCCAATCTACCGATAGTTCTCCATCTTATTCCGTCATCCTTATATTCGTGGCTACTTTTTTTACCTGATGCCTGCCTGAAAAAATTTGCCCAAAATTTGGAAGAAACTCGGCGGGTCTTATGAAAGAATACGAGCACATAAATCGTCGAAAACTCTTCATGCGCTTATATCCCACCACAATCACAGCTCGGCAGACATACTCCTATACGCTTACGTATTCGAATATTTGCATGATTCTTCAGCAGCATAACTAGTATCTTTGGTTCAATACGTTTGGGAAAATGGTATTAATTTTCAAATTATTTTAATTTTGTATATGACAGTGTAAGTATAGGGATCGGGGCAATGTGTAAAACGTTATACTCGATATTTTAAGCAAAAATTAAGTTTCTAAATTAAAAAATACAAAAACATAAATCTTTGCGTCACTTAAAACACTTTCGTAATTTGAAGTATATGTCTACGACATAAAGGCCAGGTAGAGTCTTATATATACAGCATGTATCTTCTCGTAAAGAGAATATGATTGATATGGACATAAGATCACAAATCTATAATACTTCTATAACGAAATATGAATTCGCATTTCACTCGTCATTATAGGTACAAATTAATAACGAACTTAAATTTTAGCTTAACGTAACTTTAATTATCAACCAACTCCATTTTCTAAACCATTATGACACATATTTTTAACTAACACATTCTTCTCTATATCCCGCAGAAACTTTCCCTAGAAAATAAAGCTAAATTTCAATGAACATAAATTCATTCCTCGTGTATGTCATTGTGGTGAATTCGGTGATGTGCAGAAAACTGCACAATAGACTTAAATTCGATTTGAGCGAGAGCCCAATGAATTTTTTAAACAATTGCATCGCTATTATTTCCGTACTAGTAACCCCAGAACTTAAATGGAGTGGATAATAAATCAACACTGCTAAAAGTTAAAGGTATCCTTCTTTGTATTCTTATTGGGTTATGTGATCAGAGCCACACAACTGGACCCAGTGCGAAAATCCGATCCTGTATCTGACGACGTTAAAGGACTTAAACATAGCTTTATTATTCTGTGCAGTGTATCTAGATGATAAATCCGAGAAAACGCTAAGGCTAGTTTTCTGTGCGAGCGTTCACATGGAGAAGATATCAGTGTGGTAATCTGGGGTTTTGAAATCCATTTCCGTGAAAGAAACAATGAATATGTCAATAAATCCTATTTTGAATTTTCTAACATATCTATAAATTAACTAAAACTTATTCTACCTATATTAAATAACTAAAATTCAATAATTAATTCCTCATTCAATAACTAAAATAAACGTACTTTTAATTACTCGTAAAATGCTTAGCAAAAGGTCTTATTGCTTACCAAATGTTGAATTAGATTCTCAATGAAGCTACGAGTATTTGCAGTTGATCGAAATCTATATTTTAAACAGCAGTTTCTGTGTTTTATATTTCTTCCAAACTAATTTCTATGCGACGAAATGGTGAACACAACATTAGATGCTAAAACTGACACTATAGCGACTGTTGTTTCATAGAAATAAACCAAATTAAACGTTACAAAGTCACGAAGCAATTAATAATGAATATCTTGTTAGCGAGAATATAAACAGCTTCACGAATAACATAATCTTGAGATTCCGAAGATATTTTTACACATACGCATATGCGCGATAGTCTAGCATATACAAGTTTAATATTACTATACTAATTGAAAACTTTAATTAAGCCATCTAAATAACGAAGCTTAAAATAAAAAAAATTAATATGTTTTCTTTTTAAACTAAAATCTTATAAATTATGAGGTACTTTTAAAGGCTAGGCTACAATTACAAGACGGCTGCGGTTTTCCAGAAAGGTACTGGTGGGAAAAACTCATCTTCTTATATTCGGACAAACAATAATATTTAGAACAACCGTTTTCTAAAATAAATCTTTCCTTCTTCAGGTAAACAAAAATGCTTTAAATCATTTAGTTCTTAAATTTTTACTTATATAACATTTTACAGCCTAATCAACGCAATAAGAGTAATTTTTAGTAGTAAAAGATCTTTCTTGTTATGGTTTATTACGCATGTTTTTTTTTTTCAAATATTTCTTATTCAGGTCGTTATCCTGCTCCTTCTTTCCCACGGCGGTTGGAACGGACCCTCCGTCACTTTACTTTCATGTACTTCTGAATCTTCGAAGCTCGTCAGAGATGTCGTCCAAAAGGTAAAAAATCAACGTTGATAACTTTCATGATATATTGTTATTATAATAAATGTTGCACTAAGTGTACACTATAAGGTAAGAAATATTTAAAATTAATTAATAATTAAACTTTCCATGTGTGCCCAATAAACTAATGATCTTAAAAGAATAAAAAGTCTGAAAGTTTCCTGATTTAATATTACGCCCAAAGGCTTTTTTAAAATTTTATGTTACATGTATTAATTAAACACCATGTTCTTAAACCATAAAATTCAATTTAACATCAATATCACAAAATAATTTAAAAAGAGCATACTTTTAGAATTTCTGATACACAAGCTCCCGCGCTGGAGTTAATTTTTTAATACAGCGTTGCCATTGCTAGCTTTGAAATCGTCGAGTTTCTAAATAAAAAATCATAAATACTTTGCAAAATATGAAATAGGTAATAAAACAAATTTCAAATTCCAAAGTTGAACTTCCAGATGTCCATATTCAGGTGGAATTCAAAATTTGATGGCTCTAGGTACCGTTGTTTTATCACAATGCGAGAAACAAACATACATGCAGATTCTTCATTTTTTAATTTCTTTAAGTATAATACATGGCGACAATATTTGGTGGCAATAATTTAAAAAGTGAAACGCAACAAGATGCCAAAACGAAATTAATAGCCCTTCTGGGCTAACGCCCTTTGGGCTAATAAATATATTGCGCGGTATAGAATGCCATAACAGATTTTAAAAGTTATGATAAATGTTATCGTCTTTTAAACTATTTCTAGTAAATTAGAATAACAGTTGTACTTACTCCTCACTTGTGTAGTGCCAAAAAGAAATATCACGACTTTCACGTGGGATTACTTTGTTTTTTTTTAGCAGCTGCTAAATTAATTATCCTAATTATGTTAAATATTTCCGAAGCGACAAAACAGATTCCAGCATCGTTTTTACAGTCATTGATTGTTCTAACATAGCCAGATTGCGCACTAAAGATCTTGAGACACTTGGCTATCTGGAATTATCCTCATTAATAAACTGCGCGTAAAGTTTTGGACAAGGAAAAATCACTGCTGCTCAATCTGCTCTTGAAACTAAGCAGATTATAAGTATGATGAAGCTACTGCTACTGGAACCTAGGCCAAACTTTTACTTCCTTCTACGAAATAAAGGAAGCATTGTAATCTCCCAAAAATTTTGGGTATCATATTTAAACGAAAATACCCATTTCGACCGCTTCTGAATCCATTTCAACAAAGGTTTTGAGTGCCATCTATAGGTACGCACAAAACAAAGGACTCTTTTTCCCAAAACGGAATGTAAAATGCATATAAATTCAAAAATGACTGGCCTTAGGATGCTGAAATTTTGCATATGGAACTGCTATAACACGTAGTTGCGCACTTTTCTTTTTCGTTGCAATCGGCTACACCAGACGTACATAAATATAGATATATAAACATACCCACTCTGTTTCCAACCCCGGTGGGTTCAGTTTTTTTTATTCTTACATGTTGGTCAATAGTGCATTTTTTGCTTTAAAAGTGATTGAATTACGTTGTTCTTATGTTCCGGTTAAGGTTTTTATGCCTTTAGTTAATATGCAGGCAATAGTTGTAGAACTACCAACAATTTAAAAGTTTAAGTGGTTTAAGTGCTAAGCCTAACCAGGCCGTTATTTTTTTACATTTGAAACTCTTAGTAGAATAGTGAATTATGTAAATTTGTACACCAACTTCGGTGTCTTTTTGTCGAGTGTGACCAAAAGTAAACTTTCAATTTTGTACACTGAAAAATCTGTCCTCCATCCCGCTGGCCGAATTGCTCGTTTGTGCGTAGAAACTCTAATTTTAATTGTAATTCTTTTAACTGTTTTAACTGTATTTGGTGTTTTAGGTTATAAGGTATTTCTCTCGCCTTCTTAGCATGCCTTCGTGGTGTAATGGCCAGCACACTCGACGCGTATTCGAGAGGTTCGAGTCCCGGCGTGGACATTGCTCATTTTTCACGTCTCTCAGCATAAAAAATCCTAATGTCACTACAGTGACGTCGAAACTAAAAAAGGTGGTGGATGATGATTCTTTACCACCAAGATTTGGCGATTGGGTTCCATAATCCCCATTCGGCTTTTAAAAAGGAGAGTATGTAAGATATTTCTCTCGCCTTCTTAGCATGCTTTTGCGGTGTAATGGTCATCACACTCGGCACGATTCGATGCTTTGAGTTGCCTTTGAGTAGTCGCGAAGTAAGAACTGAATTAACTAAATGGAAAATGATGAAATTCCTTTTGAAATTCGAGGAAATAAGTTTAGAAAAAATGCAACAAAAAGTGTGTAATATTTAATAGGCCGTGTAAGGAATTCATATGGCATCCACATGATGAACGCACAAAATGGCAGGGCGAATTCTTAGCAGAAACGAATCGTTCCTTCATCAACGATGATACATCCCTCAAAATGGAGTTAATCGAAGGCTATTCTATGGTGTTTTTGAACTTAGTGTTTTCTTTACTACACCAATAAAAACTGCAAGCTGGAAAACTTTTATTTAATGTGAATGAATATCCATCTTTCTGTAACTAAATCTTTAAACATCAACGAAATTTACTTAAGTATTTGATCATTACTTCAAACTATGTGTTGCAAAAATCACAAGAAGATTCCTGGGCTGATTTCAGTCCAGTGGCATAACTGATGAGAACGCAATCCTCTTTATCTAATATTGTTATTTTATACGAATGGAATAATCGAACAAAGAATGACTATCATTAGAAATGAATATAAATTTGTTATACCATTAGAGAAAAATAGAAACATAAAGTCTTATCGAAGAAGAGAGAAATTTATGTAAAATTGGATCATTTAAACTATTTTTCAAGGTTCTGCCTACGCAGCAAAATGGATTCTCTTATTTAGAAGGAAACCTTTTCTCGAATAAGAGAGTTTGAGATAAAAGGAAACATTTCCTTAAGACTATTAATTATACAACATGCTGAAGCATTAAATTCATTGACAGTTTCGTGAAACAGGGAGAGAACCTGAGTTGTATTTCTAAATGTTTCAGCAAATTTTGCAGAAAACGAAATTGGAAAACTATGAGGATTACTTTAAATAATTTATGTATTCTACAGATGTTTAGGTTGTACTATCTCACTGAAATTGCAATTCTTTGATTCCCGTTTAGAGTTTTACAGGGAAATTTGTGAACTGTTTGTTTCTGATAAAGAAAGTAAAGGTATTATCAAGATATTTCCGATATGAAAAAGACAGACAACAGAGACTGAGGATGTTTGTAAAAGAAAAAAAAAACAATTTTTTATAAATTTATTTAAATAAAGTAAAAATAGTTTTAATCGTTTAGATTCCCAGATTTTAAGAAATTTTTAGAAAAATAAATGGAAAGGCAAAATTTTAAATAATGCTTTAATTTCCTGTAATTCCTTGATTCTCTTAAAACTGGAGAGCAGTAGAGAAGAAACAAATGTCACAACTGAACTTGTGGAGACATTAAAATATTTTAGAGTCGGTTCTTTTAAAAAACTTAGGATGCCCTGGTCGAAATGAAATACGGTTGTCTGTACTGGACTGATATAATGATCACATTCTGTTCATCGGAGGAATGCCGTAATTCCATACATTCCTCCCTAAAGAGTTTCTAGTAGGAAACGTCTCTCAAAGTTCTAGTATTAGAAAGTATAGTATTAGAAAGTTTCTAGTAGGAGAAGACCTTATATTATAAGCTCATATATAATAAGGAAGTAAATAAAAATAACATAGTATCATATATAGTATTTTCTCCCTCCTTCCGGCATACTTTCATGGTGTAATCGGAAGCACACTCGACGCGTATTCGAGAGGTCGAAGGTTCGAGTCCCGGCCAGGGCACTTGCACATTTTTCAGCTCTCCTGCTTTAATAATAATAATAATAATAATAATAAAATAATAATAATAAAACTAATTACTCTACAACCTATATACATATAAACTATTTAGCAATCAGAATTTCTCAATTTTCACTACTGCTTTTTCTGTCAAAAGTAGTAGTAATATTTAACATAATTTTGTCTGGTCTACCATGTACCTAACCCATTATACTATTTTTAGTTCCTATAATATGAGCACCCATAGCGTTCTTGTTGAAGCAACTTTATCTATGTCCCCAATGCTCCATATTTGGTCATGACATCGATAATTGTCTCACACTGTGTCAGGTGTTAGAGGTGGGCACACAACTTATCCTCGATTGTATGTCAAGGAAGCAGAGGAAAATTAACTTTCTATATATAACTTTCTAACTTCCTATTTCTGTTTTCTATTCTTCGGATGATATTCATCATAATCAATTACATTTTAATGTTTCGTATACAGTTGATGCTAAATCATTAAAATTCATGGCTACTCAGATGAAATATTAACAACCTAAACCCATAATCATATCGTAAGAAAGCAGAAGATATCATTGATATTAATAATTTGTAAGAAAATAAAACAAAAATTCAACTCAAACGAAAATAAATAAATCTATACATAATACTCGTTAATTTTTTATTATGTAATTAACACCAGTTAGGTTTTAATTTCTTAACAATTACTCTTCATTGAATTTCGTGCTCTTCTAAATAAAATTTATTTTCAACTAAATAATTTTATTTAATGTTTTGCGTTAGTAAAACATTCCGATTTAGAAACCTAATATTGTATGCAAACGGCAGTAGTCAAGTCATGGTCAGTCTTTATTATCCTCGATTTTAACGAGATATAAACATTTTCAGTGATACGTTACCGGTCGTTTGCAGATATTGACTTATTAATGGAAGAAAAGCCCTAGGCTAGAGTCAGAATTAATGTCTAGATATCCGTCCTTTGAAAGAATTATTAAAGATAATTCAGAAAATCAAATGGAGTTAGAATTCTTGCTTACGCTTTTCTTGTGCAAAAACAATTTGTCTGTTAAAACTTATTTTAAGATGCCTAAGGGAACTTAAACTAGGCGAGGTGAAGGGAGCTTAAATTTAACTACGG